AATTTTAAGTTGAATTTAACGTATTCATATTTGAATATTCTTGTGATGTACTTTGCTAACAAGTAAATATATGAATGGAACCTCAGTTTCCTAGAATGCACCCCACAATTTTAATATTGATGTCGTGTCGTCTATTCTATGGCGGATGGGTCAACGTTGTCTGCCTAAAAATTATGACCTACTAATTACGAGGATTAATAAGAATGTTCCGCATTTCAATTACGTTTACGTGTCTATTTTTAGAGATTGTTCGATGGAGATTAAAATTTAATTTTTAGTTGATTTTGATAAAAATTAATTGAATGCGTGATTGAAAAATTATGCAACTAATAAAATATGTGATTAATATTGATTGTTTGACTTTGACTTAAATGAAAATTTAATTTTAATTAATACCAAACGGGGGCTTAAACTAGAAAAACGAAAGTCGAAGCACTCTCTCAAATAATATCATGGAAGAATGGTATAAGGTCTTTAACCTATATATGAATATAAGTTGAAATTTCTGCCTTCTACACAAATATTCTTTGAACTGGAATTGACAAATCGTAACTTTTGTTGGAATTAGGACAGGAAATATTCAAATATGTCTATTAAGCAGTCACGTAATTGATACATTATGAGAGGTTTTAATTGGAAAGAAGACTACGATTAAAAATAATTATAATTAATTAAATAAAGATATCTGTTTTAGAAAAAGTAGCTTTGAAAGTCAGGAACGCGTGAAGAAGAAGAAGAAGAAAGGGAGGAGGCAACGACTGAGGAGAATTGGTACCAAATATATTTTTTTACTTTTCTTTGGCCACTCTTTTCTTTTTTATTTGTTTTATAATTGAAACAATATTTTATTTGAATTATGCTATGGGTACAAATTATGTTCGTAAACTTGATTTACAAATTATGTATTTGCAACATTCAGGTCAATCATTTCAAAAATAGTTTATGAAATCAATAGTCTAAATCTTGTCAACACTTATTTTGTAAAGTTTAACAACTAGATTAATTGGTTTTATTTATCAATTACATGATTTTTTAAAAGACATAATTTTAGCATTATAAAAAAAATATATAAATAGTTGAAAATTCAAATCTTGCTGAAAATTAGTTAAGAATCCACGTAATTATGGTATTATCTTAATCCGTATTATTTAACTTTCTTCTTTAAGTACGATTCTATTTCATTGCCTTATTCTAAGCGCTTGTTTGAGCCTCTTTTTTTTTTTTTTGTCCGAAATAGTATTTTGATGGAAAATAGGTGGTTAAAAAATAAGAAAAATATTTGAATTTGCGTGTAATACTATTTTATTGAAGAATGTGTAATTAAAAATAGGAGAGAAAAAAATATACTTCGAAAATAATGGGGACCAAACAAAGGAAATATTAAGGAAAAAATTCACAACTCAGATGTTAATTATGACCTATTCAATTTCCAGGTTTTATGTTTCAAAATTCATAACTCGGAAGATAAATAAATAATTAAAATATTTTATTAATTAAACATATTAAAGTCACAATTATACAATCAATTGTCACAGTTACAACTTACATGTCACAACTTACTTATTGGTTACAAATTATCAAATTAATTGGTAACAAATTATTTTATGGTTACAAATCAAAAAAATTATAGATCATAGTTTATTTCTCGGTCACAAATTTTCAAATTAGTTGATCACAAATTATTTTTCACTCACAAATCATATATTTTTAGGTCACAGTTAAATGGTTGGTCACAAATAACCAAATAGTTCATCACAAATTAATCAAATAGTTGATCACATACACCAAACACCCCACTCTCACCTCCGATTTCGATCCACCGCAAATACTTGATCACAAATCAATCAAATAGTTGATTACAAACACCTAAATAATTGGTCACAAACTCTCTTCTTCCCACACCACCGCCACCACCACCAACATCAACTACACCACTACCAACAACACTGACATTGACAACCGCCACCGCCACCACCAACAAAAATTACCCCAACACCAAGACATGAAAAACCACAACCACTCAAAAAACCAATAAATCCAACAAAAACCACAATCATGGCACCATTGATATGGATAAAGTACGATAGATCACATCATACTACCACCTCACACAACCCGATTCACTTCCACATATTTACCTTAGCAAACACCAACTCCGCCTCCCTATTTACCTTAGTGAACACGAAATCTGTCGCTCGATTCACCTCCACAGATTCATCGTAAGTCGCCTCCAAACTCGACAGCTCCATTATCTCAGTCAACTCCTCATGTGCCGACACAGTTGAAGCCTTCCTCACTTTCCATCAAAACATCCTCCGACTGTACGGACCATGGCGTCACTGTCGAGGAAGATACGAGCGACGTGGTGGTGCTAGGCAGAAAGTGCGACTTCTCCCCGTGCCGCACAGTAGCTTCTCACACGCATTTAAGCTGCACAATGCTATGAAGTGGTGGTCTACGATGGCGATGTGATTCATGTGTAAAGGAGAGGGTAGAGAGTGACGAGAGAGGAAGAGCGTTGCGATGACAATTGGAGAACTGTGCCGACGATGGTGGCAATGGCGACTGTGTTGGTGGTGAGGTGATATTGTAAAGAGAGAGGAGAGATATAAATGATAGAGAGGGAGGAAAAGAGGAGTGGGAAATTTCAGGGGCGGACGCAGACAATTA